AATTGTTGACGCAGCGTTCGGAAGAGGGCCGCACCCTCTGCGGCCTCGCACTCCAAAATGGAGAGCTGACGGCGCGCCTCGGCAAGCTCTGCGTCACGTTGGCGCAAGGCGTGGATCCACGAGCGAGCGGCTACAAGCGCATCCGTCACGGTTGAAGGCACCCCGAGGTTCTCGTACGAACATGCGTACTGTAGAACCGCGAAGGCACCTGCTTCCGCCTCGGGACGAAACCCGGCGGATGATGGCGGCATGGGCTGAGGTGACCCGCCAGCTGCTGGCCGGGACCGTATCGGATTCTCGCTCGTCGCGGAAGAGGACGAGGCGGCCGGCGGAGGCTCCGCCCCGCCCACGACCGGCGCAAACCGTTCCGGATCCTGGTTCTCCCTCGACAAGGGTGAGCGCGCTGGCAGAGGCCCCGCGCTGGCCCAGCGGTCGTGCATGGGCGTGCGCGCTCCGACCCCAAGTCGGGAGGTCCACGCAGCCGAGGAACTGTCGCCCGGGGAACCCAAATACGGCGCCAACGCCGCCGCCACGCTGTGAATTGGCGGGGGCCGGAGCGGAGGACGGCTATCCGGCGAAGGCGGCGGAGCCTCTGTCTTCCAAGACGGAGATTCCGGCCCGGTCACCCCGGCGAGTGGTAACTTGGGAGCCTCACCAGCCCCCAAGGGGGTCTCGTCGGCAATCTCGACGACCTCCACCGAGCCCAGCGGGGGCGGCGGGGGCCTCTCCATTTCTTCGTCGACCCCCGTGGCCCTGTAGGCCGACCCAAGGGGGCACGCCTCGACTACCACCGAGGTGGGGAGCTGGGGTAAATTCCGTAAGGTCTCCTGCGGGGGAGCGGGACCCATTGAGCCCCACTCCCTTCCGAATCCGTTGAGGTACGCTACCCCCGGCAGCTCCGCTTGAGCGGGTGTCGCCGTGGGGGCCTCCTCGAGAGGGAGTCCTGGTGACCCCGGTATGACCGACTGGTTGGGGTCTTCATGAGGACCCTCCGGTTCTTCCTCCCCACGCCGAGGCATGTGAGGGATGACTCCGGTACGGTAATCGTACCAGATAAAGTCTGCGTCGTCCCTCCACGGCCGGGGAAGGGTGAATTCCAAGAGCTGGTCGGTGTAGTCGGCATCGAATGGGGAACCTTCGACCAACGCGGCTATCCCCACCGATCGGATAAATGCAACCAAAGGCGGTTGCAGGCGGAACAGCACGCCCGGGCAGGGTTGATGCCGGCGCGCGTCCAGACGCGGGTCGGGACAGCGCGTGAAGAACGGCATCCCCTCACACACCGCACGGAGGAAGCAGTGGAGCACGAGAGCTGCCCACTCCGACAGCGTGATGGCACGGACCAGCGCTCGCTGCTGGTTATCCACTGCGGTCCGAGAGCCCGACAACCACCGTGAGGCGACGTACGCCATCACACTGGGCGTCGGCACGCAGAGGTGCTCGGGCGCCTCAAAATTGGACCAGTCGGTGGGCAGGTGCAGATAGAGCTTCGACCGCGCTTGGACTGGCACGGAGAAGAATTCCGTGCAGTGCCAGAGGTGGAAGAAGAAATCCGTACCTCGCCAACGGAGGCGGCTCTCCCGTGCGGCGTCCTCGCCCCACCTGCGACGGTTGGCGACGCTGTACCAACCCCATAGCGGGCGGTGGAACACCACCAACCGAGCATGGGGGACCGCTTGGTCCGCCCGGCCGAGCTGGGCGAGCAACGGCAACAGGGCCTTGTGGTACGCCACCTCCTCGGGGCAGCGGAAATACATGATGTCACTCCCCGGGTCGGCCAAAACCCGACACGGCGAATGGCGCCAGCGGTCGATCTAGGCCTCGCCATGGGTCCGCTGACCCCCGTGGCGTTTCGCCGACCGGCTGCGGGCCCCACGTTGAACGGGGATCGCCGCGAAGCGCGCCGCGTCGAGGTACCGATGGGCAAGCCTACTGTATTCCGCGACAGTTAGCGGGGGCTCCGGAGCGACAGATGGCCGCCCCGTGCGCCGCCAGCGGTGGTCGAGTTCTTGACCAGGGAACGCGCGGCGGGCCATCTCTCGTAGGCTCATTGATCGATTGGCTCGCACACCGCGGTTCCTCCGGGGCCTTCTGATCACCGTTGAACGGTCCGCCCTTTCGAGCGGGTCAGGAGAAGCCGGTGTTACCGTTGCTGCTCTCAACCGACTCACCGCTCCGGCGAGCGACGGGAGACGCGGTACGGGGATACTCCGCAGCGGTCTCAGTAGGGGAGAGCGGGGCGGTGTCGCCTCAGCCCTCGACCGTACCGCCGGCGGATCCACCGCCGGCACCGTCGGGTTATTCACCTGTTCCGACATCGGTGAGATAATAGGGACAGAAGAAGTCGTGGAAGTCGCTCGTACCGTCTGGTTGGGAAGAGATGTGGTTAGTACGGGTGAGGGTCGATCGCATGGGGGAGCCAGAGTCTTGACCGCATGGGAATCCTCGCCCGGCTTATATAGCCGAGCGAAAGACCGCCGAGCTGTCCGAACGGGGCGCCGGCGCTTGCCCATTACGAAAGAAGTCAACGCGGTGCGGTCGTCGGCCAGGAAGGCGGCAGCAGATACCGATAACGGAATAGACGTGCCAAGCACGGTCGTCGGGACGGCTGGCAGTGGAGATACGGAACCCGACCGGTCGGCACGAGGACGTGCCGTCACTTAAGAAGGGGGGTCTGTGGTACAATTGCCAAGTGGCGCTACTGTACTAGGTGGGCGCCACAGGCCTCGCCAAGTACAGTAGTAAGATGTTAACCGATACGGTGCATACGTGGCCAGCACGTGTAGATGTGGCCACGTGGGATTCCTCGTGTAGTTAGTGGCACCAGCTAGTGCAGGTGTACACGTGGTGCGCGACCGATCGGTGGGTTAGTACAGTAGTCATTTTTAGTTACCGTAAGCTACAGTAAGCTGGCTACAGTATGTACAGCTACTGTAGTCCGTCCGGTGCCACCGCCCTACTAGGGGGTATAAGATAGGGGGGCACCGGGCTGGAGGTAAACCGAGGCAAGCACGCCTCCCCTTACTTCCTACCCTAGTCCTTTTACCGTACGGTTAAGTAAGTCCCTCAGGTTTCCAGCTCGCCACCGGTCGTACTGCTCTACACCCCAGTACGACTGCGCGTGTCCAGTGCGGTGTACCTCCCTTGTCCTGTGCTTCCTACTGTTCCGGATTATTCTACCTGACACTCCAGTGTAGCGGTCCCCCAAGCTCCCTCATTTTTAGGTACAGCCTGTCCTTTTCCGTTTACGGTTTAGCGTCCCTACGGTTGTACCAGATGGTCTATGCGTGTCAACACTTCTTTATTGGCCATTTGCATTGTGGATGCATAGAAACTGTATGCAGGTGCAAAAGGAGATGGTTCTAAGATGTCTCCAAATCAGTTTTATTGTGAGCTTGCTGACCAGTTGATTGATAACAAGTATGATCGTATATCGTTACGTCAGCAAGAATCAGACAGTGCTGTTGAAGATGAAGATGTTGGGTTTGGCAGTGGAATTGGTACTCACCTAACTTCAACCACTCGCAAGCGGAAAAGCGCATCAGGCGAGGAGACTTGTGCTCTTTATCAATCCAGATGCAATATTTGAAAAGGTACAAAAAAGTCAAAGTTTATTTGCTCAGCCTGCAAGGTATATTTTGACAAAGAAGTATACATTTGTCATCACCATACTGGGCGTGACTGTTTGAAGAAACATGTCGACGAACGTCATGATCTTACTTACAAAGGTAAGTATTACTAGTGGTTAAAGCGTTCTCGGCCATTAAAACTGACTAAATTGGCCAGCATTGGAGTACAACAGAGCAAAAAGAGATAAAAAACTCCTTTTGCCCCCTATGGTTCTATTCTGCGTCTAACGACTTGCTTGGAAGACCTGCAGCCGTGTCGGAATGCCCCTTTATGAGATGTAACCGTATTCAATCTCATGTTCGAGTGGGCGCTATAATGCGTCCTGGGCTGCAGGTCATGAACAAGAACCATCGAGATCCCTGAAGGGATTTTTGGACCACTAAAGTGCTCAGCGAGGAGTTGAACCCCGGCCTCTAAGACTCAGCGATCCTTGCAGACCACTGAGCTGGCTTTTCAGTTACTAACTAGTCGTTTATAGTTGTCTTTATAGTCGTTCAAAGTTCTACTTCGTAAAAATTGTGCTCCTTTTGTTCTATACTTGCGAAAATCTCAAATTTTGTTTAAATTTTATTGTAGAGCATTTGACCTCATATGAGGCAAATTGCCGGTCTAGACACTAGCGTCTAGACAAGTCTTGTCTAGACGACAACCAATTTGCCAAGACTGACCTCATATGAGGCCAGCTTTTTTTTTGCAAAAATATATAAATTAAATCGAAACTTTAAAACATTCAGTTTGGACACCATTTCTTTTATCGTATACGCGCTCGGCAATAACATCTTGCAAAACATTGGCATGGCGGTTGTCAATGCACAGAGAGACTAAGAATCTAATCAAGTATCAATGATGAGTTGACTTTTTAAAAAGGCGTTTTGGTTTCGAAAATATCAACATAAAACGGTTTGAGGTTGGTTAAAAAAGGCTCCTTTTTGGGCATTTTAAAAATGGCTGCAGAACACGTGCAGATTGTGGTGATTCCTTCATATGACTCCCAGTCATTCCTCTCTCCCGTCGTTGGCCAACGGCACCTCCCCTTTTGCTCAGCCGTCATCACAGGTTATGGGCCTCATTCTACTGCTGCACACGCGAGTTCGAATCCCACCGTACACCTCCTTCCCACACTACCCAATCACAAGCTCACACGTCAACCACCCGACGTTGTTAGAAGCAACCCCTCACAAGCCGACACGTCCCACACCCGACGTATTCAGATGATGCAAAAAACCTCATTTTTCAGGTTCCAAGGTCCACCCGCACTGTAAGACGTCACCAACACGCATCAAAAACCTTCAGGTTCATGGTACACCTGCGCTCATACTTTCAAGTCAAGAACCCGGCATTCCTTCTCATTTAGTCACTCACATACGAGTTCAGGGGGACTGTGGTGATTCCTTCAACTCATTCATTGAACTCGTCTGCTCATTCCCACTTTGCGATGCTTCCTTCTCTGCTGATTCCTTCATATGACTCCCAGTCATTCCTCTCTCCCGTCGTTGGCCAACGGCACCTCCCCTTTTGCTCAGCCGTCATCACACAGATCTCACCAAACTCCACCCTTCCACAACGCAGAAGTCAACTGCCGTGTCGAGAGTATCTTTTTTCCATCTTGTTGAGCTACCCGAGGTAGCACAAGTCGAGAAAAATAAGTTGAAAAGTGACCTCATATGAGGTCATTTGTCACCTAGACACTAGAACGGGAGCTGGCTTTATCATAAAAACCCTCAAAAAAAATCAGAACACGTCACACGAATTTGAAGAAAAACCGAAACTGGCATGGGATACAACGACGGCTCTATATTGGACCAAGTGTCCCAATCAAACTACAGAGATAGAAAACCAGCATGCCTGTTTGATGTGATAACACTTTCGATGATTGCATCTCCTCGACAACTGCATCCAAGCGCCCGCTACCTTACATCTCAAATGGAAGGACGACTGTATCACGCAACTTGTGATCCAGAGTTCTCGCTGTTTGGCAAACGACTTGTGTCTAAGGAAGCTCGCAATGTAGTACAATACTGCACTGTACATACAGCTTGCGCCTGCGCCATGAAGGTAAACGTTACAGTACTGTTGTAGCATAGCGTCGTAGATGTGCATACCCGATAGGACCCACCCGCCACACCGCCACACCGAACCCGGGTTGCATGTGGAAACGTCGTACTCATGTTGGACACACGCCCCTGTCGGTTGCGGGAAGCGGAAGGACATAACGCATTCGAACGAATATTCGCAACCAGAAATCGTGGCGAACGCTGGAATGCGACGACTGTTGCCGGATAAGGGATGAATGCAGGAGAGAGCTGCAGTTTGCAGAAAGGCGAAGGAGGAGAGCAAGGCGGAGAGCAAGGCGGAGAGAGGCAGGAGGCAAAAGAGAGGCAGTTACCCAATAGCTCCAAAGTCCCTGAATGATCTGTCAACAAAGCGGTCCACGAGAGTCGTGACAGCACGTGTACCTTACAGTATCTAGCCCTTGTCGGTCTATAGTTAATGACCCCATTGGCATATTGCAAAACAATAATCCCTCCGACGGATCTCAGATTGCATCAACACCTGCTCTGCTGTGTACTCCAGTACCATTCCGTATCTTCACATCTCGCATGGAGATAATCCTGCACAACGAGTCGGAAGCAAGTATGAAGGCAAAGTCTTGCATCCAAACTCCCTTCGACTCGGCGTTGCGTCTTGATTGGTGTGTTTATGATGCAGACCCCGTGCTGAGACCCCCAAGAATGGGATGCACATCGCATATGATAAAAAAGTTTATTTAAAACCAGGGAGAACCCGCCCGAGAATAGTGCCAATGCCATTTTCTCTCGCGTACCGGACCACATAGCGAATCTGGTGTACCCATCTCCAGAGAATGTAAAACTCCAGGAGGACAGCGTAAGTATTGTTTGTGGGCCCGTGTGAAAAACAAAAACAAAACGCTACTTGCTATTCGATGGAATCAGGTGATTAACGGACTGACTTCTATTGCATCCGTCATTGATCCTCTTGTGATAAAAACTTGGTGTGGCATCCTCTGTGAGCCCCAATCAACAGTACAATATCCAAACCCATAATACAGAGTCCGTAGTATCAGGTGGTCAACGAACGAAGAAAGTCGCAGGTCTGGCTACCCTTGGGTAGATCACGCAATGTGGAAGCAGTGCAGTAGTGCCGTGCCTATGCTGTAGCTTGGATGCAACTTCCCAAAACACGTATAAAACCCTTGCGCTGGGAAAGCAAAACCTCCCCACTCATCCCTTCCCTGCAACAGCAAATCGCCTGCAACAGCAAATCGTTTCTCACTTCAGCAAATTCTTCGCCTCTGCACTATGAAGTTCTCCCTCGCCATTTGCCTCCTTGCCTGTCTTGTGGCCGTAGTTGCGGCTGTTCCGGCGCAGCCTCGCCGTCCCAAGCTTGGAGCCAAGCTTGGAAAGGTTAACCGCCAATTTGACCATGAATGTAAGTGTTCTATCATCCAGGAAATGTTTTTGGGCGACAATGGAAATCTGCAACTCACACCAAAAACTCTCGAATCTGTGTCCACTACCTCGTCTTAAATTTGTTTCACTTCTTCTTCGCATTCATTAGGTCTGAGCAACTATCCCCCTGGTCTAGAATTCTGCTGTTATCCGGGGGCGGAAAACACCCCTTTCTGCGCGTTCAACCGTTTGTAGCTCTTCTCTCGTCATCTCGGAAGTTGCTGCTGTTCTCTTCCTTTCTTAGGTTGCTTTGATAGGCATCTGGTCACCTGACATTACGCAGCGCACGAATCAGAGAGATCTCGTAAACGAAATTAGAATTTCCAGACGTTGTGCCCACCTCCCTTTCTGGGATTCATTCGTATACGCCAATCGGCGGAGTAGTGCTCTTCATGCATTGTCGTTCAGACTTGTTGCAACATGGACACATCGGCTGTAGTGATATTGAGGATCATGCCCAGTTGTCGCAATCTTCCGAAAAACTAGTGGTATGGACGGGGGCCGTAGGGCAACACAACCTTCGAATGCCATCTTGACAAAGATCCGAAGTTTTTTAATTAATGAGACGGAGGCGGAGTCTAGTAGACTACAGCCGCATTATTGGATGTAGACTCAGTCTACATCCAATAATGCGGCTGTAAAGAGTGGCTGTAATGAGTACTGCCTGACTAAGTCCTTGTTGCAGATGGTCATCTGTGATTGGCTATAGTTTTGATTGCATCGCGAATATCTCTAGAGGTTGTATCTCTGGAGGTTGTATCTCTGGAGGTTGTATCTCTGGAGGTTGTATCTTCATGCGTCTCTGTCAATCTGGTCCCGAGACAAACAACGAGAGTTGGAGAAAGGTAAAGTTTACTCGGGCTACCAGACCGCGCTCACCTTTGTAGATCCCCGCTAACGCCGAGACCACGTAGCGGTCATTAGTTTCGTCCGACACCGCCCCTCCATCGTCACACCCATTAGGCCCTGCCGCTGCTGTGGCGGCAGGGACCGCTAGCGCCGGAACCTCGGCCGGTCGTCGAGGGGTGAGCAAAGTAGAGAACGACTCTTGACTATGCTATATTCTGACAACCCATTCGAGTTGTCAGAGAATGGCGTGAGGTCACAGAGCGGCCGTCGCCGCCCACCTAAATAATACTGTACACCGGAGTGCCAACTGTAGTCCAGTATCCTTAGTATCCTTCCCCTCTCATACCTCAACCATCGCCACATCGACAGTCTCAACGATGTGAATGGATACGAGACAATGCCTTGCTCACGACCGCGATTTCGGGTTGTTTTTTCATTTCTGCTTTTTGCTTGTTTATTCATGCAGAAACTGAGAAACTTGATGATTCTTCATGAAGAAACGACTTCAGACGATGGTAGCCACGACTTACACGTTACATCGCCATGATGGAGATGGGCTACAGGGACCCTAGGAAGGCATGGGGGATCTGGATTTGGATGGTTGATCGCGATTATCGGTGGGTCGCCTGAAGAAGGCCGAAGTGGTGATTTTTTCATTTTGCAGCATTATCTGGCAGTTTTTGGGCGCAATTGCGCCCAAAAACATGATTTAATGAAATCGCGGGCTCACGAAGCATAAAGCATTTAAATCATCTGCACATACGCAGTGCTCCCAATATCACTCTGAATTGCCTATACTATACTGTACTTCGTAGGCTGAAACCCCTAACTAGGCCTTAATAGATACTTAATAGATAGACACCCATCTGCCTACTTCCTTTGCTATCGTGCTGCTTGTCGTCACACATCACCTCACCCACCAACATCTCTGAAAGAGAATAGACCGTTTTAAGAAAAGAAAAAAAACGTGCAGCTACCTACTACAATACCATCCCAGGGAGCTCAATCAACCACGCCCCCTCACGGGCTAACCGGTCCAAACACCCTAAACCCTGTGGTGCAGCTCTTCTGCCTCAGCTGACAGATCGAGCAAAACCTCTTCCCATTACTCGCGAGCGGCCGCGCATCCCCGACTGCACAAATGAGAATGCACGCGAACGAGCAGTCCGGCCCGGGGTTGCCGTCGCTCCTCCTCGCCCACGCGCGGCACGTGCTCACGATCCCGCTCCCCCTCGGCAGCGGCACCTCGCACACGTGCCTAGGCCCGAACCGCGTGCACCTCCCCACGGAGCACTTGCGCACGTTCCTGACCCTGCGGCAGCGGCCGCTGTTCGGGCCGTCCGCGGCCGGGAACCCAAAGTCGCGGATGACGCACGTGAGCCCCGTCTTGCACGGCACCGGGCGGATGCGCGACCCGAGCGTCGAGCAGCGCCTTCCGTTGCCCAGGCACCCGATCCCGCGCTCGGCGCAGCCCCGCCCGGCCTCGAACG